TTCCCAAGAGCACTCAGTGGCTTCCAACACAAGCATGAAGTTACCAACCCAAAAGCCCACTGTGAAGGCAGTAAATGGGATTGTTTTCTTGAACTAGGTAAAGGGAATTGCTTTCTTTTCGAATCCAGTGGAAACTGTGAGGGGAAAACACCCCAGAATATAGACCTGTTTCAATAAGCACTTTCAGGAACTGGAGACTATGGGGTGCAGGCGGATTAGGAGGAGAACACTAGTGAATAACTGCAAATGCCAAGATATCCTGAGGCTCTAAGGATAGTATAGATTCCCCCAGAAGCGAAGAAGGCACACAGATACGCATGGTCTGGTGGAGATGAAGAGAAGGAAAGCAATGGCAACCAGTTGTCCTGCAGAAAACTGACTTACAGAGCCATGCCTCACTCTCATGAGGGACTGCTGTCCTTGACTTCATATTCCTCCACTAGGGAAACAGCGGAAGGCAGGCTGCTGTGGGGCTGCAGACCCACTCCCTCTGGTTCTCCAGATCTAGCAGATGCTCATCTTTCTATGAGAGGCTCATTCCTCTAGACCTGATGGCTAACCCTGGATGAACACACTTTATTCATGAGTTATTTTACAAATCATCATTAAACTGTTTTAATATGAGTGATCGGGGAACCATGATATTGCTTCCACATGACCAAGAAGAAGTTGCAAACAACACCCTCGACACTGGGGTGTCCATTCTTTACATAGGCATCTCACGTTTTCTAGAAACTTCTTTTCAGAATCATGGCCAGTTTTGACCAGTTTTCACAATGATGAAAAACAAGGCTACTAATCAACATTCTCTTATCTTTACACAGATGATGAAATTACTCAGAAGAACTTTCGTTAGCATTTTCCCCGCTAATCCTGTATACAGCATTCAAACACTCCAGGTAACAACCTATTTGAGACATTGCATCCAGGCTTTCAGGGACTTGAATGATTTGGTAAATGTCTCTGGATGGACAAGGACAAGCAGCATTGGAGAGGCTGAGCTGTGTGTATTTGGAAGGTGACAGTCCCAGGAGAAACAACTCGAGATGGCTCAAGAAGGATCATTCCAACACTGCTGTAATTTGGAAAGAATTTCCTTCCTGTACAAAAACAACTATGTAATAAATTTGGATCTTCTGGAATTAGAAGCTTTCTAGCAATAACTATTCAAATGTTATTTTATACTTCCCTGTTACTGTTTTCTGGGTGTATTATTCTTGGTCAGAAGTATAAAAGGAGTGAGTGATGAGTGTAGACCATTCCACAACACAAAGGCTATTGGCATCTGATCTTATGCTAAAGTCTTAGCAACAAGAGGATGAACAAAGGCACAGTATAACTCTTTTTCAGGAAAGCAACGTGTTCAGATTTCACAGAACAGCTGTCACAGAATCCATCTATCAAGCCAGCTTCACAGAAAAACAACAAGGAGGCAGAGACATAATGTCTACATGAAGGGCCATTCCTCACCCAACTAATACATAACAGGATTGTCATTTTGGCCAACAAGTCCTAAGTACCAGAAAATAAGAACATGACAGCTGCAGACTTCAAGAGTGCTAATAACCTAGCTAGTTCACACAGCGGGTGGGGGGTGGGAGGGCTTGAATATTTAAGAATGAAAATGTGTCCTGGTGGTACACATTCCACTCAAAGAGGAGGGAAAGATACGTGTAAAAAATGTAAGAAGCCTCATTCTGTGTGAAACTAACTCCATGTGTGAGCATGCTTGTACACAGAATGCATCTAGATTGTTCCAGACAAAGAGAGTTTTCATTCAGCCTCACGTGGCAGGGTGTGGGCTGGAATGAAGCCATGGGTGTGTGTACTGGATGATAAGTGATGATAGGGCCTTGCTTGGGGGAAAGCCCAGAGTTAACCTCCATAGGAGGACAGACTCTATTTATCTATGACCTGACTTGCTCCACACTAACCCCAGGGTACTGGGGTCACACTATTGTGTCCCCATGGCCAGCACACAGCAGCAGTTCTCCAGATTATATCCCAAACCAGATATGGAGAATATGATGAACACTGTAGTCTCTAGTTTGGCCATCTCTGGCTACTCATAGAATTTAAAGGCACCTACTAAGCATCTAAGTCTTACGCAGGTGACAAAAACATTACTATGCCTTCCTCCCTTGAGGAAATATGAACCACAGAAAGCATAGCTCTCAGGCCAAGAAGGAGCAAGAGCCTTGCTACTGCTGAGGAATTTAGGTCTTAAAGGAGACAGACTAGAATTGAGGGGAGCACACACACACACACACACACACACACACACACACACACACACACACATACACACACACACAAAAGAAAACGTTGGTGAGACCAGCCCTCCAAATCCTAGCCAAAGGAATGCCATCATGAAGTGAATCCCTACTTATGTGTTCTGCATGCTGTATTGCAACAAGACAAACTACCTTTACCACAGCAGGCCAGTGTTTTCTGAGACAACAAGAATCCCCAATAAGGGGCATTGGTAGGGTACCCTTAAACACAAAACTTTCTGAGAATCTGGCTTTGTCCATGGTTTGTGTTGTCTGAGCCTGCTGTCACCTCTAGTGTCCTAACATAGGCTAGCACTCTGTGCCCAGACTTACATTGATTCTGATGCAGACTCACAGCCTTCTAAAATAGGAATGTGGTTAGAGAGGTGACTTCTGGAATTGTGGTTGTGCATTGCCATACACTGTTCCATAAGTAACTCCTGATACAGCCATGTTGCTAATTGGGATGAACTTGTAAGAGTCGCTAAGCTGAGAGGTAGATAACAATTTTACATCTCCCTGGGCAGCCACACACTCCCACCTCACAGAAGCCACAGAAAGAACATCTCCTGGCTTTGAAACTAGCTGATTAACAATACTGTATGAGAGGTGAATTCCTTCTCTTCTACCAATGAGAAGGTGAAAGCCCAAACAGGAGTGAGGAAGCAGATCTGAGCCTCTTAGCTCTTGGCTTCAACCAGGAGCTCTCCAGACAGATCCCCCCCCCCCCGAAGAAATGAATCTTTATAGATACTAAAGTGTGTCTGGAAATTAATGAATAAGACATTCAATGAGGTTCCATTGCCATTTATATTTAGGATGTCATGATGTGGTACAAAATGTATACATAGAAATCTTTTAGCTCATTTGCCACGTGAATATAAATTGTTCTTAACCAAAAGAGAGACCTTGAACACCATTGTTTGTCTGTCAATCTGTCCCCCATCATGAGCATTTACCACACCAACATTTCACCAATCCATATGTCACTTTGAGTCCTTAGTAAGGCATGACACACAAAATGTGTGCTGGAACTTACACAGGCACTCCCAAATCACCATCAGAGGCCCAATCTAAAAGCAGGGCTGCTTGCCACTCTGACCTCCACAGAGCCGGTAGTGGCAGTCTCTGAAGCAGAGGAAGACATCGCCACAGCTCCCACACCTAGCCCCAGGCTTCTTGACCTTGTACGATTAAAGAAAGAACTTGAAATCATTTGAGGATGAATTAAAACAGCAGGTCAGCTTTCATCCAACTGTCCTAATCTAGTCATTCCAGCATTGTGGAAGACATATTGAGTGAGTCAAGCTTTGGAACTGTGCAACCCCTTAAGCTCTGGCCCCTGTAGGAGAGGTAGGTTGTGGGCACAAGGTTTTCAGAGTAGAAACCTGTGTGTCAGTACATGAAACACAGTTTCCCCCTTTATCAAGTCTGAACCACCAGCTTCAGTTGTAGAAGAGAACAGGAGAAAAAAATGTGTTAAATCACCTTCAAAACTTCTTTGACCATTTCCTCATTTTCCCGGGTGACAATCTCTACTCTCTCTCCTTATAGAAACCCTCCCTTGTTTTGATATGGTGTTGGAAAATGTTCTTGTCTGGAGGAAAATAAGAAGACAGAGTTCTTTGATAGTGTGGAAAATGAGGATATTGTGGAGGAGGCATCAGTGTGGAGCTTAAACAACAAAAGCATTGTCAAGCGATGGGAGAAGAGGCAGGGTGTGAAAGGCTGAGTGCAGATGGGGTGCCTTGAAGGTATGCCAGGCTGGGCACCCAGGACGCAGGCAGCTGGGGGAGCTGGAAACCCCTTTAGGAAGTCCTGCAGAGGCCATCCCAACACACTTGAACTTTTTCTTAAGGACTGCCAGTGAAAGTTGCTAAGCTCTGGAGATTAATGTCTATTTACTTTCCATGCTCTGAGAAAAGAGCCCTGGGGAAAATGAAGGACATACATTAAAGTATCAGAGACCTGGGGTAAGGCCAGCTGGTCCTACAATGCTGGTAAAATCCATTAAGGAGTACCTGGCAAAAAAGCAGAATGAAGAGGCATGGGTGAGATGTAATAACAAGGGTTAGTTGTTAGATTTATAGATGGGAAAAAGTGCTGCCAACAGTCCCCAGAGCTCTAACCCCAGGGATGAATGATGGGAGACAGCTTTGGTGCAAGCCATTCATGACATGGATGGAAAACTGAACTGGCTTCAAGACCAGACAATTCCTCAAAGAAATGCCTAGGCAGGACACAAGGACCAGCTTTCTTGCGTGGAGATCCATCTTTCACCCACTCAGTAAGACTTGAGCATGTTCAGGGGTCTTAGGAAAGGGGAGATAAGGATGAAAAGATCTGGGAAAGCTCACAATAGGAACAGGTCAAGGGAAGGAAGAGAAACTGTTCATGCATTCCCACAGGTGACAATATCTGGAAGGGCAGATATGCACACAGATCTAGTCTGCGGTGGTGTTTGGTTTTAGGGATCACTCTTTTCTTGAATCTGAGCAGTGGCAATGCTTAAAGTACCCACACCCATGGCTTCGATTGGACCAGAACTTATCATGGATCACGTTGAGTTTACTGAAGTACCTTCATCAGGTGATGAGTCAGATTGCCTCTGGTCCAAGCGCAGTGCTGGCCATGCAGCTAAAGGCTTCCGGGGACTCGGCTGCCATGCAGCTACAGGAAGGGGCAGGAGATAAGCTGTGGACTCCACCTGAGCACACCTAGCTTGAGCAAATCTGGTCAGGTACAAATACCAGAAGGCTTCGTGTCTGTAAGCATGCCTGCCTATTCTCCTCTCCATCACACTGCTGACAGCATGAAGTTCACAGTAAGTCGGATCTTCCTCTAAAACTCAATACAACTGGAAAACATTAGTAGGGGTGAGAGAAGGGTCTGATTCTTATGGCACTGTTACCATAATGGAAAGAATTCTTTCAGGGAATCATGGCATTTATAAGTGTGTCCACAAAGAAGAATTCATGCACTGGCAGGGTCTGGCACAAGCTAATTGTGATAGACTTGCCTTCCACCATACTTGCTCCGGGGTTCTACTCAGGACAAGCTCCAGAAAGTGTCTGATCTTTCTTATACTCAATTCTGCTTTTGTCAAGAGTCCTGGGCATGTTCTGGCCTTCTGGTCAGCCTGGAAGGTCACTGTTGTCAAAACCAGTCTTCAACACTCTTGGCCCTCCAAGAAATAAGTGTTCTCAGGCCCTGTCCAGCTTTTTCTTTTTTTTTGGAGAAAGAGTATGAGGATGAGGATGAAGCTAGCTCAGTTTTTCCTCTGAAGTTCTAGGATGCAGAGAGGCTGAAATCAAATGAACATTTCCTATTGCAGCATACTCCATGCCTTGAGATGGGATCATAAATGCAAATTATGACCTAGAAATGTCCTCCCCAGATCAGGCTGGATCAAAGCAGGGAGAGCGCCAAGCACAGGCCAGAGGGTTGGACTTCTCATTAGGGGCATGCCTTTGTCTAGGGCAGTGATTCTCACCCTTCCTCATGCTAGCCCTTTAATACACTTCCTCATGGTGTGATCCACAATGATAAAATTATTTTCATTGCTCCTTTATAACTGTCATTTCACTACTGTTATGAACCATAATGTAAATATCTGTGTTTTCTGATGGTCTCAGGCAACCCCTATGGAAGGGTTGTTTGACCCCCAGAAGGATGGCAATCCACAAGATGAGAACCACTGGTCTTGGGGCCCTTTATTCCTCAGCAGCTGCCTTGTGTACAGGAGATGACATTGTGCTCAGACACTTCTCCCACATCTGGTTTATTAAGAGACAAACTTTAACTCTTTGTTAAGCTGACAATAAAAATAATAGAAACACTTAACCTACTGAGAAAACAGCAAGAGGCTTGTTTCCCTCTGCTAGGAAGAAAGCATCCCAGGTCAAAGAAGAGTTTTCAGAGCTTTTATGCATCAATTTTATGCTTTATTCATCAATTTCAGTGTCTAATTCAAAATTCTAAAACTACATATTAATATAATTACAATAACTCAACAATTCTATATTATTTCTAAATTTTTCTGTGGTTAAAAAAAATACATGGTGGGGGCTGGAGAGATGGCTCAGTGGTTAAGAGCACTGCCTGTGCTTCCAAAGGACCTGAGTTCAATTCCCAGCAACCACATGGTGGCTCACAGCCATCTGTAATGAGATCTAGTGCCCTCTTCTGGCCTGCAGGGAAAGCATGTAGACAGAACACTGTATACATAATAAATAAATATTTTTAAAAAAATACATGGTGGAATAAGAAAACATGGAAAGTTGGGGACATTGGTACAATTAGTAAATATTTCTGATGAGCTTGGTGGAGGAGTGGATGCGGTAAAGAGTGTGACCACCGGCCCTGTTGTCTGTGCTTTTTCAGGTGGCCTTCGTCAGCCTGCTGGGGCTCCTCATGGCATCTGGTTTTTCTTACGTAAGTCTCATTTTCTGAAGCCTGTTACCACAATGCATTTACAAGGAAAAGTGATCTTAAATCAGTTTCCATTTCTTATACACTTCAGACTATCAACAGCAACAATGAAAGCAACATAGGCGGAAGTGGTCCTCAGTCAGTGAGCATCAACAACCAGCACAATGTGGCCAATGTGGACAGCAACAACGGCTGGGGCTCCTGGAATGCCCTCTGGGACTATGAAAATGTATGTATTGGAAACACGGGGCAAAGATATGGCATACTCACCAGCCATTAAAACCTTCAATGTGAATTCTAGCTGTCCATGATGATAACTACCAGTAACAATGTCTGTGTTGCTCAGCCGATTTTACTTCTTATTGGTGATAAATGTTACACAATAGGTTAAAATTCAAGCCAACTATGTTCAAAGACAAATACAGGGATCCATTGGCCTTCCCTGCAGAGAGCCTTCATGATATAAAGGACCAACATTGCATCTTTAACTCAAAGAGACTGAGCGAAATATGAATGACAATACTGGTCGATGATGGAAGTAGACTAAGATGTGACAGCTGAAAAAGTTTATTTCAGCCGAAAAAGTTTATTTCAGCAACACACACACACACACACACACACACACACACACACACACACACACACACACACAGCCTCCTACTGTGTTAGAACCGAAGCCAAGGCAGTGAGTTAGATCCCTGTTTCCACCCTCTAAGAACGTGCAGACCATCTCTACATGTTAATCATAGGCACAACTGCAGGGCAGCAGGATCCAGATCAGTCATCCAGCTCCTCATAATCTTAGAGCTAGATTTCCCCTCAGCTGTGACTTGGGACAAAGCTTCTGGGGAACCTCACTGCCATCTGTCTTCTTTAACAGAGTTTTGCTGCAACCAGACTCTTCGCCAAGAAATCATGCATTGTGCACAAAATGAACAAGAATGTAATGCCCTCCCTTCAAGAACTCGACACACTGGTCAAGGAGCAAAAGGTGAAGGCAAGCCTTGTCATTTGGAATGAAAGGTCTTACTGTCTCCAGTAAATAATGAAGTCCCACCCATTCCTTCTTTGCACAGCATGCCAGCATGTTTGTCATGTTAATGCTAGGTGACTGCCTGAGTGGGGGCAGTTTCCACTACACCAGATGCTGTGGCTCATCTGCCTCTGCAGGGTAGAGACAGAAGGTCTGCAGAACTCAGTGCAAGCCCTCAGTACTTCAAGGACACACCTCTTCAGTACCTAGGGTTATCAGAACGGGGAAGCATATAAACTGCCTAGTTAAGCTGGATTTCAGATAAAAAGAAATCATTTTTAAAGTCTAAGTATGTCCTATACAATGTTTGAGATATTCTTAACTCTAAAGGGATTTGTTGCTTGCTTGAAAATCAAATGTAATCAAGTGTCACCCATAGCTGCAGTAGATGCAAAGAGGGAATCCATGGTTTTCACAGTCAGATGTCTGAGATAAATTGATGATAACCCAAAAGGTAGAGAATGTAAATAAGCTCCATCCTCAGAACTGATCATATAGTCTTCCCCTAGAATCTAAGAAGGCAGTTGTGCTTTACATTTCAGGATACATTTTGCCTCAGACTTCTGATTTTATGATTTCAAACCATCTAAGTCCTTTGGGGCACTTAGAAATATCAAGACATTTAAAGCTAGATTTCTCTCTTCACCTTGGTTAAAAAAAAAAAAAAAAAAAAAAAAAAAGCAGCCAAGAAATACCCCTGCCCCTCCTGCCCCTTTTAGAAATACCCCTGCCGCTCTTGCCCCTTTTAGAAATACCCCTGCCCCTCCTGCCCCTTTTAGAAATACCCCTGCCGCTCCTGCCCCTTTTAGAAATACCCCTGCCGCTCCTGCCCCTTTTAGACCAGCAAATCCCGGACTCAGCGCACATTCATTTTCTTTTTTTCCTCTTCACACTTGACTTCAGGATAAAGGACCTGAGGGAACATCTCCCAAGGAATTGATGTACTCCATCAACCCTACCCGAGTGGAGGACCTGAGTACATTTGGGACAAAGATTGCTGCCATGTGCCAGGGCATCCCGACCTATGTAGCTGAGGAGATTCCAGGTGTGTACCGCCTGACATTGTTCACCCCAAGTCAGTACTGGTGGAGCCATCAGACTCTCTGAAGTGTGACCACAGATGGCACTGATCATGTGGGGTTGAGCGTCAGAGCAGGCACTTCATTAGTGCCTACTTCAGAAGCATTAGTTCATAAGCTCCCCAAAGCACTCTTAGAATCCACAGGCTCTATTGCTCTGTGAGTCTTACTTTATACAAAGTGAGACACAGAGAAAGGTCTCAAAGCCTTTGTCAGGGTTAGTCCAGGCATTTGGCACAGGTTGTGTGTTTAAACATTATAGAATACTGTCTCTTTTGGGTCGGTGGGATGTAGAAAAACTCCAAATGTAATCAAAAGAAAGCATAAAAGCATAGATGGCTAAATGAAAGGAGACTGCCAATAAATCCTATTGACTTCCTATATCTCTAATACTTATTTCTTGGCATTCAAAGAATAGTATCCATAAAGTAAGAACCTAATCTAACTGCAACTTTCCACATCTCTGAAGTGGAGAGAGACAGAAAGAGAGGAGAGAGAGAGAGATCTTGAAGTTAATGTGTACCTTAGAAATTATGTGACACTTCCCACAGTCCCCAAAGAGTCCCAGGACAGTCATTGATCCAAACTTGTTTTCTCCAGTACCGAACCAGCCTTTGTACTCACAGAAGTGCTTCACTGCTAAAATACTGTGGATCCTGCAGATGTCTTTCTGTGGAACATCAGAGGAAACATATTAGAAGCAACTTCAGATTTGATCATCAGAGAAATGAAATGTGTGCTCTGATCATTGCTATACTGACTATGAGAATTTTCTCTGAGAGTTGATTTACTTCTTTAAGGCTCAATAAACTTACCTGGCACCATCAGTTTGTACTGACATTCCTCATGATTACTATGGGAGTACAATATGGCATATGCCAGACCCACCTGTCACCCTGCATTTAAGACCTCACCCCTAGGAAGGACCCTTCAGAGACTTCATATACCACAAACCACAGCCTGAGGTTGGGCTTAGACTATGCCACTATTCTCTTGCTGGTGGATGAAATGCCATTTTAGACCAGCAAAGACAAACATCTACTCAAAGTGGCCATAATCAGAAAAGGGAGTCTTCTACAAGGAGTTTGGAGTATCTGTAATAACCCAAGGTGGTGCTAGGAATGAGAGGCTAGAAGCACACCCCTGCAGATACTGAGAAACTCAGATTGCCTCTTGCCCCAGAATGGCTTGTTAGAAAGCTAGACCAGAAAGTCAGCCTCATTCTTCATGTTCATATGCTATCCCAGATCAAGAAACATTACCTAATGTTGAATCCTACTTCCATATTCTCTTGATCATATTTGGTTCATAGTCTACAGCCTCCATTCCTTGACAGACCAAGAGTGAGATCATACTACCGTATGATCAAGCACAAGGGTCTCCACCAAAGGAGAAAAATCTGGAAGAAAATAATTTCCCAGAATTGTGTATAATAGCAACCTGAACTTCATTTTAAAAGTTGCTTCCATACATAGTTCCTAGAAGTCATCAGAAGATTCTTACTCCATTCCTTTATCTTTGCATGAGTTATACCTATGTAAACCTAACAAAACTAAACAAGATATTGAGTTCCACCACTTAGACATTATTTATATTGGTTAGTGCTTACTGGGAGGAAGTTATAGTAATTATCTCCACTATGTTGTAATTTCATCACTTTTTGTAAATTAGTGTTACTTCTGAAATATTCTGAAGCCCATATAGATCACAGTTGTATCATGTTGGAGAGATGTCTCAGTGATTAAGAGCACTTGCTGCTCTTCTAGGTAACCCAGGCCCAAGTCTCAGCACCCCCATGGCAGCTCACAATCATCTGTAACTCAGGCTCCAAAGCCCTCCTCTTACGACTTCTATGTCACATGCACATGGTGTGCAGATATACATGCAGGCAAAAATGCATACACATAAAAAGACCACACTTGCAGATGTTGCCTTGGTGAAGGCAACAAACAAAAAACAAAACTAAGTCTCAGAAAGTGTGGTCAGTGTCAAGCACCTGACTTTGGGAAGTGGTGAAGTCAATGTTTTATAGAAGAATTATCTGTAACTATTTTAGGATTAAAAAGAAAACCCACTGGGAAGATAAAATTCTACATTATATAGACTTATCAAAATATACAAAGGAAGCCAGGCATTGGTGGTGCTCCCCTTTAATCCCAGCACTCGGGAGGCAGAGGCAGGCGGATCTCTGTGAGTTCGAGGCCAGACTGGTCTACAAGAGCTAGTTCCAGGACAGGCTCCAAAGCAATACAGAGAAACCCTGTCTTGAAAAACCAAATATATATATATATGTATATATATGTGTGTGTGTGTATGTATACATATATATATATATATGTATGTATATGAAAATTACAAGAACTTCAAAGAAAAATAATTTTGCTATCCTAGTTGAATATTTTATATACCTTTTAATTGCTTATATATGAAGAACTAGGAACATCAATACTTAGATAAATTACTTTATTTTAACTAGACTATATAAAATACCACAAAATACATATTTCTTGTAAGTACATATAGAAGTTATGTAAACACTATATGCTAAGATGTAAATCAGATCTGATTCATTCAAATCATTAGCATCATAAATGACACATTCTTCTAGTTTTGACTTAGTTGAGACAACAGTTTCCCAAATGAAATAAAATAATTTCATTTGTCCTAAAATTATGCGGCATGCTTCTGAATAAGACAAGAACTGAAGAAAAGTCAATGATTACAAGTAGAGCATACATTATAACATGAAATACTGAAAGCCCTACACAGAAAACCATGTGAGCAGTAGTCCATAGCTCTGTAAAGAGGAAACATAGAGCCTTAAATATTCAGTTTGTATAAGAGGAAAGGTTGAACATTGAGTCAGGCCTTCACCATTAAAAATGAGAGAAAGGTGAGGCTGGAGAGATGGCTCAGCACTTGAGTACTGGCTGCTCTTCCTAAAGTACTCAGACCCGATTCCCAGCACCTATGTGGCAGCTTACAACATCCGTAACTCAGGTTCTAAGAGATCCAACATCTTCTGGCCTCTGCATACACTGAACATGCACGAGGTTCACGACATACATGCAAAATATCCATACACACTAAAAATAGATAGTAATTTTAATGAGGGAAAATATGCTATATCTAAAGTAAAAATAATGATCCTAATATCACAAATCATTAAAATAGAAATCAAATATACAATCCTGACGGGTCAGACAGTGCCTTGTTTAGTTCCACTTTAGTTAGCCTAGTTTAGTTAGCATAGTTAGTATGAATCTAGGGTTTCTTCTCACACAAATTTATCAATACTATTCATTAACAGGGCATGCATGGATTTTGGAAGACAGTGCTGTGATCGTCATCAACATCACAAACTAAGCCTTAGATGAGGGCTATGTTCTTTAAGCTTATTGTAAGGAGCATCAAAGACCAGAGTCATAGGACACACACACACACACACACACACACACACACACACACACACAGATCCCATTAAGATATATGCCTTCCCAGAGCCTCTGAATCCTTTAGCTAACCACACAGGGAGGCCAAATCGACAATACTGCCTTTCATGCTCCAGGAAAGCAAGTGACTCTTCCATTAATTCATCCCATGGAAATTGCTCAAGAAACAGTGAGATTCAGCACAGACATCTATCCAGCAATTTGCTAAGAATCTCCTAGAGAAGAAACACAGAGCAGGGGACTTCCCACCAAGAACCTCGCCCCTTCCTGAACCCTCCCTACAAGGTTCATCTGGGTAGTGTCAGAACTTGGGCATAACTGGCATAGTTCATCTCCTACAGTACCCACTGCAGATAGTAAGAACTGGTGCATCGAGCAAAGCTCGAGTCACAAACTGGTTCCTACATAAATGAACCAACTGCTCCAGAGCAGAACAGTATCAACCTTATCAGTCAACTACTAAAGCCATCACAGAATCTCAGCCGCATTCACAACTGGAGTAAGCGTCTTCAACAGGGCATGGTCAGCAAGCCAGGAGCTGGCAGACTGAAGCCTCATGGTGAGAAGAACTCAGGCAACTTTATTCTCAGAATCTTTCTAAAACATCAAAGTGGGGACAATAAAAGCAATAAAACTCACCACAACTGGAGAGGAGTAGGTTTGCTTGGCTAACTGCTCCAGGACACAGATTAACACCAAGGGAAGTCAGGACAGGAACTCAAGCAGAAACCGTAAGGGAGTACTACTTGTTGGATTGCTCAGGCTCATGATTAGCTTTCTTCTGCAGCTCAGAACCACTTGCCCAGGGGATAATGCTGCCCACAGTGGGCTGGACCTCCCTACATCAATGACCAATCGACAGTTCCCCACAGACCAACCTGACACGGACATCCTCCATCTGAGGATCCCTGAGCAGGTGATTCTGAGCTGTGGCAAGGTAATATTTAAAACCAACCACCACACCGCCTCTACCTGATGCTGTGTGTTGGTTTACACTGTGGGTTTTTCTCCCCCACCTCACTACATTTTATTCATGAAAATCACCAAGAAACTTCTAGTTGCTAAGTCTATTGAAGACCTTACAGGGCTCTGCCTTTGTGCTCCAACTGACATACATGACTGTTTTCTCCTAGATATTCCTTCTCTTTCTATACCAAGTGCTTTAAAAATATCCGTGTTCTCCTGGGTTCCTACACAACCCCTCATTTCTTACTCCTCTTCATCACCCAAGGCATCACTTAAGCGTACACATAGCTCCAGCTCCCATAAGTCATAAATTCCAAAGATACTCCACTCATGCATTGCTCCTTAATGTAAAAACACACATAGCTAGTTTCTGGATTATAATTCTGTAACTAAATGTAAAGCTGTGGTATTAAGAGGGATGGGGAATATATTGGAATCTTTGGAAAGAAGATATGTGAAGGGACATCTCAGAGCAAGGGCAAATCAATCCAACTGAGAAGGCATAGCTATACTGTAGTTACATGACTAGATCCAAGAGCAAGGAAGACTAGAAAATTTAATTGTAACACTTCTGTATTAGGAAAGCATGATTTATGGGGAACTATCAACCATGCAGGGAAAGCATTCCAAAAATATCTACTGCATATGCCTCAAGTGCTGCTGCTTCGCAGGGCTTCCGTGTCAGTCTTTTCTGCCTCTTTCCAACAGTTCCTGAATTTAACACACCACCAAGAGTTATACTTTAAACTGACCCCATTACTTAGGAAGGATGTAATGAATTCCCATGATGTTTCTGTTTTGTATGTTTCTGTTCTGACATTAAATCATGGCTCCTCCTTATCTGCCACCCAAGGTTTTCCTTCTGCCCTTGGGCAGATTTGACTGCCCAGTTTTCTGACTGTGGGTCTTTATTTCTTCCTTACTGGCATTCAAATTTGCAACAATTCCATTGAGTGGTCTGTCTTTTTCAACCCAAAGATAATGATTTATTCATTGACTCCACTGTTTTCTTTAGGTGTAAGGCACAAATTAATGTGCCTAAATTTATGAGATGATTGAGATTGCACAGCAATCACCCATGATGAGAAATTCAATGGAGAAGAAAACAAAAGCTAAAACCACAGCACCCTCCATGCCTTGAGTTCCCCATTTTGACAAGTGTTCTCTGGCTTCAGAATTGGTCCCTACTCAGGAAACTAGCTGACCCTCATGCATAATAGGTGACAGGTGATATTTTGGTTTTTACTTTGCCAAGGGAAAAAGCAGATGCTTTCAAATATAA